TGTCTCTGATCTGTCCTCGGCCTGTCTCTGATCTGTCCTCGGCCTGTGTCTGATCTGTCCTCGGCCTGTCTCTGATCTGTCCTGTACTGTCCTATCTGGACCAGCAGCGCCCCCTTCTGTTCACCTGGACACAAGGTGACGTCTCTCCACCTCAGTTCTCCTAATTAATCAACAATTCATGTTTCCAGTTCATTAGAGGCTAATAAACTGTGCCAACAAGCTTCAAACAAACAAACAATAAACAAACAATAAACAAACAATAAACAAACAACGTATAAACAGGACGGTTAAACTTCAGTCAGTAAAATAATCTCTCATTAGCTAAACTCGACTAAAGCCACGGCTTAAGTCAAACTAAAAGCTCGCTTTAACTTTATTAAACACTTAAATAATAACAGACAAACTTCTGAGCGCTCGTGGAGGCCTGTCTCTGACGTCACAGCCCTTCAACGGCAGATCTGTGACGTAACGGGGGTTAAAAACAGCTGGCAGCTAAAAGCCAAGCTAACATGCTAACAGCGGTGTGACAGAGCAGCACGCGGCCCGGTGCTTGCACCCGCTGCGGCCGCGTGCCCTCCGTTCTGTCCGGTACCACAACGGTTCTGGTACCGGCCCTAAACGAGCTGCCTAAAGCCGAGTTAAGAAACTTCGGTACCTTCAGACCTGTTGATCCAAGCGCTGAGCGGACATGACCGATGACTGCAAGCCCCGCCCACCGCTGTAACCTGACACCTCCAGCTGCCAATCAAAACGCAGGAGTCGTTCAGGGCCACAAAGAACAGTGGGAAAAATGAACTTCATGAGAATCACTAAAGAGTTCGTAGAGAGACGGAGTTTCTGTTTGTTTTTAGATTCCAGGCTGACGTTTGAGCTATAAAATAATATTATTTTGGAAAAACGGACCCTTCATTGACATGCGTGCACATTTTTAAATTTATATTATGAAAATACTCTCAAAACTTTTTTATATCCTCCTTTTTTATATCGCTCCTACAAGAACCCTGCAGATGTTGGATGCTGCAGATGTTGGATGCTGTCTATCATGGTGCACTAAGATTCATAACTGGCTGTAACTACCGTACCCACCACTGCACCCAGTATTCACTGGTTAACTGGTCACCATTAACGTCACGCAGACTCTCTCACTGGTACATTTTCATCTTTAAATCACTTCCTGGTCTGCTGCCTTCATACATCTCCTCCTACATGTCTCTGTGTGAGTGCAGCTACAGCGTGCGCTCTCAGGACATCATTACCTGCAGTGTTCCCTCAGTGAGGACTGAACTAGACAAAAGGACCTTCTCCTACTCCGCTCCTGTTTCCTGGAATATCTTGTAAAAACATCTGAAGCTCTTGACCTTTGACCTCTCTAAGTGGCTTTAAGAATCTGTTGGACTCCTGGCAGGGACCGATGCAGACATGTTCCTGTTTTTAGTTTTCTACATCCCCCTTAGAATCTAGCTGTTTTTGTTACTTTTCTTTTTTCAGCCATCCTATTTGTAAAAAATAAATAAATCTGTATGAGTTTTTATAACTGTTTATTGTTGTTGCTGTTGTCCATTGTTGTCATCTTTCTTTGTTAAATCAGGTCTCTCCTGTAAATGAGTCCTCGAGGCTCGATGGGATTAACCTGTAGAAATAAAGGTGGAATGAATGAATATCACCATTTATCGCCATGTTTGCTTGTCTGTCAGCAAAATCATGAACTGGAGGAGAGATTCTATTTTGAATAAGCTTCGCCCTTTAAGGCTGTCGCTGGGGGGAGTGGTCCAGCAGAGGTTAGAAGATGGACTTGTGATTGGAAAGTCGCAGGTTCAACTCCCGGTACCGTCAACATCAAAATGTGGGTGAAAAAGGTGAAACGCCCACACCTCCCTCCACCCTCATTCGCCCCACCCTGGGCCCCTGAGCAAGGCCCTTAACCCCCACCATCTGCTCCCTGAACAGGTCTCTCTTGAAGATGAGTTCTCAGGGCTCAGTGAGACTACCTGGATAAATCAAGAGTAAATGAAAAAATGAAAATGAAAACTAGTGGGTTTATCTCCACTCTCAGCGGCCAGCACTGAATACTTTAGTCCACGCCCACCTGTGGGCACCACCCCCCCTCAGTATAAACTGCCTTTGGGACCGGGGATTGGCTCCCCACTTTCTTCAACTAGCAAGCAGCATAAGAAAACTAAGACACAGAAGATGTTAGCAGACGGAAGATTCATTCAACCTTTATTTAGACACGTTAGTCCCATTGAGCCTCGAGGACTCATTTACAAGAGAGACCTGATTTAACAAAGAGTGATGACAACAAAGGACAACAGCAACGACAATAGACGATCATAAAAGAGGCGTGCAATTTAAAAAAAAAGGAAAACAGAATGATAATCAAAAGGAGAATAAAATGTAGCTACAAAAAAACAGCTAGATTACGAGGGGGCTTTACCTAGCCTGTTGCTACCAATCCCTAGCCTTTTGCTGCTTTCAGACATTTAGCTGCTTTTAGCCAACTGTGTAATTTTTTACCTAACTTTTCCAGCTCTAGCTTGTAGAGCTATTTTTTCCTAGCCTTTTGCTACTTTTATCTCATGCTTTGATACTTTTTGATTAGCAATATGCTCCTTTAGCTACTGGACCCAACAGAAGGTGTTACTTCTGTCTTTTATGAAAGTTTTAGTGATTTACTTCATTTAAACTAAAAAATGGGTCATTTCTATTTTCTGACTTAATTATTTTTAATTGAACATTTATTTGAATGATTTTATAAATAAAAGTTTAGGCTGTTTAGATTTTTATTGTTTTTATTCATTTTATATTTAGTTTATGTTTGCATAGACTGTTTTTCATTTCTAAAAAAAAGTAATTGACTTCACTGACATCACAATTAATTTAAATAATAACATAAAATTACAGTAAACTTTTACATCTTTTAACCAATCTGTTTGTATGAAGTATTTTTTTTAGTTTCCATTAAAAAACTGGTTTTACAAAACTCATAACGATAAAAAACTAATTAAGTTTATGATGAAATAAAACAAAAATCTTTTTAAAAATGCTGTTTTAGGTTCCCACATGCAGGTTTCCTTCATTCAGAGACCGTTTGATAAAGTTCATGGGTCCAGTTTGTTCTGGATCAGAACCGGACCGGGTCGGTTTTTTATTTTTGTAAACATCAAATAGTGTTTTGTGTAAAATCTGTAAACTCTTTGTGCAGATTCTTAGTGAACGTTTCAAACTTCAGTCTGGGTCCAAAATGATGGAACCCAAGTCCAGTTCTTTTACTGGACTCAAAGTCCATGAAAACGCCAGAACCAGCTGCGGTTCTGGGAGGTGAGGACTTGTTGCTGACGTCAGCAGCGTTTAAAACGTGAGATCCTGCGAGTCCAACAGCTGCAGCTGCAGATAAGAGCTGAAGGTAGGCTTTAAAGCAGGTTCTGCAGAGGTTCTGTAGAACTCCAGCACCGCTGATGATGCTGCTGCTGTCGGTTCTGTTGGTCGGGCTAAACTGGGCCTCAGCTGCAAAGGTCAGTCCTCACTTTGACCTCTGCCTCTTTTATTTTAGTCAAAACATGAAAACACCATGAGAGAAAAGTACTTTTATTTAATTCAGGTTAAAACTTTAGTTTTAGCTCTTCAGGAGATCAAAGCTGTGACTTTTGTTCTGTTTGTAACTTTTATAAATGTTAATGATCATCTTAACTTTAAAATCACAAATACATTGATATCTTTGAGTTTGTTTAAAACGTTGTTCCCATTGTTGAAATCTGATGGACAAAACTTCACCTTTTATTTTCTGCTGCTACATTTAGCTTTAAGTCGACCTTTCAGTACTTTGTGCTATCAGCTAGCCTTTGGACACTTTTAGTTTTAGCAATTATCACATTTATGGTTTGCCTACCTTTTGCTACTTTCAGCTATAGCAAGTATTCTTTTGCTTTTAGCTACTGTTTTGATGATCTTTGCTTTTGGCTACTGTTCTGATGATTTTAGCTTTTAGCTACTGTTCTAATGATTTTAGCTTTAGCTACTGTACTGATGATTTTAACTTTAGCTGCTGTTCTGATGATTTTAGCTTTAGCTACTGCTCTTATTGGTTTTAGA